TTCCTGGTGCTCGACACTTTGCCGCAGGATATTGAGCAAGTCAACTGAATTTGAGCCTAAGAGAAACTGAATCGCAGTATCGTTCGCTTCCGCTGGAATTACATGGTATGGAGAATACATTTTGACCGCAGGTTACTTCAGCTAGCATATTGTCTCGGGAGGAGGTACATTTCACTGAAGCAAAGGCACCCTTCGCGAAGTTATAGCATTTTTTATGTCTGCATCTCGATTTTGCAAATTGCGTCATCTACCAGTATAGAGGGTCCAAGACGTCTTCGAAATTCACACAAATTATGACATCACCATATTGGACACTCTTGCTATTACTGTTTTTTCTTGCTGTAAGAATGTCAGGGATGGAAAGGTCATAGGCAGGCGATGCCGGGGGGTATTGGACCATAATCCTATTGGGAAATCCCTGCACCTGCAGTTTGCTTTTGTTTTTGCAGGTTGGCAAGTGCAGTCTTCAAAGACTTGGCATTAAAGGTCTCGAGCGCTGCTGAAGTTCGAGCATTGTAATGCTGGATTTGCGCTCTGGCCCCCATGTGCCTATGTGCTTGGAATCTGTTATGAACCTAGTATTGAGCAGGGGTAGTGGTGGGAGGATAAAGAGGAAAGTCGTTAGACTCAACACGAATTTCATTACTTGGGAATGTTTGGCATCATCCCAGTGGTAGTAACTGATGCCTTATCTTTAATTTTATCAGTGTGGGTGATGGCGATTTTCGCAGTTTCGGTCGGCCCACCTATTGCAGTGAAGAATTTCGTATATGACATCACTTATCGGTACAAGATAAATTCTATAGAAAAACATCCGGAGCTTTGTAGGAAACACTTACACCTAGTCCTCCGCAGGATTCTGCGCGGAATGTATTACCAGGGAATCCGTTTCCGGGTTCCAAGTCCGTGATCCTGCTTGAGGAGTTAATTGATCCACATTTATCGTCTTTACACAAACCCTGCGTGGCGCAGCGCTTGCTATCGACAATTTTATGAGAGTGGTGTCTCTTGTGAAGATTTCGGTTTTTGCTTCGCGCAGCGTAAGTCCACTGAATTCCATTTCAACCGGACTTCGTGTATGTGGTCTTGTTATAAGAAAGACGGAGGCATGCTTCTCGCTGGGAGCTTTAATTTTGAGGACCTCTGATAGCCGTATCTGACATGGTCCTGAAGTATGGTCCGTGCAAACGGTTGAGCAGTGGTCGAATATTTCGATCATCCGACATCCAGCCGAAATCTGGAAGAGTGAACATATTATTGCTACTATTTCGGCAGGTTCCGACGACAAGTGATCGCACGATTTGTGCGGCTGATCCCTAAACTTTTCATCTTGCGGACGACAAGTTTCATAGATTCTCCGCCGAGATTCTATTAGATCCGTTAAAGCCACCACTAGTGGGAGTAAGGAATGTCCTACATCCTGTGATCATGAAGAAGATAATTGCCATCGCGCCAGGTATTGCCCTCGTCGGACAGCGTTCTGGGTTAAAAATGTTGGCGCTACAAAATGTGCAATCCAGAGACTGACAGAATGGGGCTGAAGGACAGAGCGTTTCGATGGTGTTCACGGACTCCCCTTGAAGGTTCATCGTACCGGTGTTTGTGGTCAATCTAAATAGAGGAACTCACGGGTTTTCGGATAGCGGGGTTATCGAAGGACGCTTACTGCTCGGGGCAAATTTAAGGGGATTCATCCCGGTGAGATACAAGGTTAACCTTCCCTGGCGCACTGGATCGAACCTCTTGAAATGGAGGTTCTTGGGGCAGCCCTTGAGCTGATGCTGTGGGTGTCCGATTGAGAATTATCTGAATGCATAATTTGTATCACAGTGAACAAAGACAACCCACTTAGACGAAAAATGGGCGACGGAGGATGGTCGCATTCGTCGTAGTTAAGCCGTGGTCATTTTCGGAAGTTGCAGCGACGATTTTTCGCTCGCGATGAGTCTTGGTCTTGATTAGTCAATAGTGTCTCATTTGTAGATTTCTCTGACGGTATACTGGCCTTGTCCTTTTCTTGATCTTCTGACTTGGTCTTAGTTTCGCTATTGAGGGAGTTGTCTAGCTCAAGTGGCACTAGGAGATTGATTGGCCGTCGAATTAGTCGTCTTAAAGGTAGTCGTACCACCGCTTCCCGTGTTGTTCCCTTGGTATTGGTGACAAGTTTTTGAATTATTCCTGTTTTCCATAGTGACGTGGTAAGTAACAGGTTAACTTTTGGATAAGGCTTCCTTCACGGGGGAGTTGGGAAGATATCTTCTTATGACCCACATTCAAGATGTGCTTTTCGCGGAGCTCTGTAATGTATTGACTTTGCCACACTTGCCAAAATTTTTCCGTCAATTTGCACGATGATTCCATTGCTGCGATCACTTGTTGTTTGGTTTGAATCGCGGGGATTTCTTTCGGTGGAATGTAATCAAGGTCTTGATCCTTTTGAGTAAGGAGAGGAAATGAGAGTAAAGGTGCTTATGTAGAAAGTCTATTGGTCGAAGGGCTAGGTGGTGCTTGTCAATCGGTAGTTGCGTACGCAATGAGTGTATTGGCATGGCCCCGTATTCGACGGTGTTGAGTTCTTAAAATGATTATACGGATTGCCCCAGAGCTTTGTAAAGTGATTGCTCGATAGATTTGATCAATCTTTCATAAAACCATCCCTGCCAGGGGCGCGTATGGCGTAATATGCTCTCCTTTCAATTCCCCGGCTGCTTAATACCCCGGTCAGAGCTGGGTTTTCTTGCAGGGTCCGAAAGCCGTCTTGAAGAATGGCCTAACCTAATAAGAAAGTGGGGCATCATCGTAGCTTATAAGTTTTCGGTGAGTGCCCCCGGCGAAAATTTCGTCGCTATGTAAAGATGCTGCTGGGATTAGTCGGAACATATCAAGGTGTAGCGTTACATGCAAGTATTTAGACTCCCTAGCAGTTTCCTTATTTTCCCTTCTTCGTATCACGTTAGAGAGCCAACTAATCCACGCAATGCTTGGAACGGTCGTGACCTCACAACCCGTTCTTTAGGTAAGTTCTCATAAACTGGATAGTTATATGGAAACTTATCAAACTTCTGGCACCTGGTGCATTTGCTAATGGTTCGCTGGACCTGTGCGCGAAGCTGTGGGATCCAAAGTTCGTGCCTGACCAGGCTGATTGTGTGATTAATTCCTGGATAGCCTTGCTCGTGGCAATCTTGAACAATCATCTCGGGGCCAAAAGAGTTTTCTGCAGTACAAAGATGGAATATTTAGCATTAAAGTCTGATTGCGCATGTCCCAGTCTCCCATAACAGCGCAGAATGCCATTTTCGTCTTGGTGGATATCAAGGTGAATATCGGGTCGAGGAAATCCTCGGACAGGGGGGGTCGTGCCTGTCGGTCTGGGTCATGGGGGGTCGTACTCTTGGGGGTCAGTAACAGCAGTGGTATCGTGGTGCAGATAGGTAAGGCCGATGTCATAATTTGTGAATCGAGCGATTCGCTAGCGAATCGCTGGATCCGAGCGTTGCGTCAGCGAATCGAACCGATGCACCAGCGAGTCGAACTATGTACCAGCGAGTCGAACGATGTACCAGCGACTCAATAGTGGCGGGACCCAACGTTCAAAGGAAGCCGCCACTTTCAAACAGTGTCACGTGACAGTGGACGCTTTTTTGAAAGTGGCGGGCTTCCTTTGAACGTGAGGTCCCTCCTCGATTGAGTCGTTGGCACATCGTTGGACTCGCTGGTACACAGTTCGACTCGCTGGTGCATCGGTCGATTCGCTGGCGCAACGTTCGATTCGCTGACGCAACGCTCGGGACATCGGCCTAAGAGGGTATAGCGCAGCAGAAAATGAAAATATCTGAAAAAACATGATATTAAATTTTCTTTGCAGGTTCAGTCGCTCCATTCCTCCACCTTCATGAGAAGGGCGTATTTGAAGGCAGTACAAAGAATGAAAGTGCATCCCCGCAAAGAAGACTGCCACATGTGCGCACGCGCTGCAAAGGCACCTCCTCTGCCTATCGCTCGCTCCTTCTCCCTTAATACCTCGCTGAGAATGACACTGTTGTTAGGGACCCTGTCGCAAAAACGACAACCGTGAAGGAAAAGCCCTGGGCAAATGAAGTTGTTCTTTAGGTTGTAAGAGTTACGAAATGCGTTTACTACAATGCAGCTTCTGTCAACTGGTCATGATCATATGACACCTTCGAATCGATTCTGCAACTTCGAGTGAGGTCGGATGCATGGCCTATACTCAGACAAAATTCGATGATGACGATTGCCCCTTTTCCTATTGCTTATGTTGGGAGGATGTTTTCTAGACCCATTTCAAGCGTTGCCAACAATTACACTTGCAATGGTGAAGGAGGGAGCGGATTTTCAGGTGGCCGGATCCGTCCTCGATACATACTCGACGCAAGATATCTTCTCAACTAGGAAATGTAGAAGAAAGCTAAGAAGACCATCAGAAAGCGCAAACCTTCCGCTTTCCAAAACTATCTTCCCTTTTTCAGGATCTTACGAAATTAGAGAGATATTGCTCTTGAAGTGGCAAAAACTCGCATGAAAATTTCAGCATCCTCGACGTTTACTCGACGAAATTTGAGAGACCCTATCTTTCTGCATGGAAGGCTTTCAGAGCAATTTCAATACTTCTTGGAAACGCGAAATCCAGCTCTATCTAACCCTACCTCAAACTGCTTCAAAGGTTATGAAATGGAGGAATGCAACCTTTTCATCGAGGGTGTAGATTTCGACGGTTTTTTTCGGGATTTCAGCAAATCTGACCCAGTGACAATCGCGCCGCAGCTGCCGTTGAATCGGCCGTTGATGATACACTCGGCTGTTTGATATACTCAAGCAGGAATCAAGATTGAATCGCAACCCCGTGCCTTCAGGATTTCTGTGCATTTCTGAACGAACCTGACTTTGAGGTCACACAAAGTTAATGCCTCTTTCCTCGAGTCGATATTTCAGTAAATACACAAAAGTGTGCAGCGATGAAAGACAGTGCATAGATGACAAGATGAGGCGTCCATAACATTATTTTGCAGAATTTTTTTGATTTGTTTTGCAGGATTTTTTGATTAATTAATTGAATTAATTTGCTCTGTTTTAGGGGGTCGTGCCAGGATCTCGATTTCGGGGGGGGGTCGTACTTCTGCGACCACGTACTCGACACGATTTTCACCCTGGTAGGACGTGATTGAGTGAGGGGTGCCCTTTGAAATGGGCCGGTGCGTCAAAAACTACTCTCAGCTTGGTAGTTTCTATGTGAGGCGTGATAAGGCTCTATGTGCGAGATAGTGGATGATTGTTCCACACGTTCGGTGCGTTCTCATCAACTTCTTCGATAATCCCTTTTCGTGCTGACTCATGATAGTCTAATGGTACTGTAGCAAAGTTGTGGGGTCGTTGATGAGCTTAGCCATGGCTGCTTCCAAGTCTTCGGACGGCAATTACCTTGTTGTCAGGTAACTCAGATGCGTTGTCCTTCCATGGAAGTCTTACGTAATATCCATCGTCTTTTCTCTCGATCGTGCATTGAAGTCTTCCCATACTTCAGCTTCTATCGTTTCTGCGTTCCTCGGTACATGGTCCGACGAATTCGTGAACGCCTGATGACTCAAATGTACAGAAGTCCGCCCATGATTGTGGATCATCTTCGGATTCCGTTGAGCTATTTCCGAATTCCACCACTTCTGGTGGTTCTTCTATGAGTACGTCATTGTGACTAGAACCTCTTCCTGACACGAGGTATCCCAGTTTAGATGGGATAAGTTTAAGACCTGAAGAAAGAGTTGCCTCAGCTGTCAATCCTTTGTCCACTAAGAATTACAGATCGGCACATCCCAGTAAGACTTGTGGATGGATGTCCGTTACGTTCGAGTTGATTGACAACGAGATGTTGCGGTCGTAAAGGAACTGAACGTCTTCCTTGCTAAGACGGCGTCGTAGCGTTGGTTCTGTGATGGTGTCGATCTTGACCACGGTGATTTTGTGGGCGTTTCCCTGTGCGTTCCACATTTGGAGTTCGTTTACTCCACAGATTTTCTTAAATGGCCGCTGAGCGCCAAAGGTGGCAATAGTCAGCTCCAACTGACTTGATATCGCGTAGCTGAAGGTGATCAGCTAGTTGCTCACTTGTAAATGAGCGATCGGCCCCCCTGTCAAGCATTACGTGGACGATCTCCAGGGCTCGGCTCTTAGGATTCAGGACTTGCGTCTATCCTACAAGGATGTGAACGTCAGTCCGAATTCGGTGATGATTTACGTTCCTCTTCTTGGATTGGATTTCTTTCCCCTTGTTGTGATACAACGGTGTTCATCTTGGATGATATCGAAGACCGACTGTTTCGTGGTGGCTTTACCGTGAGCTTTTACGTCTTGGACTGCTGACGGCTTCGCTGGTGGAATAAAAAGGTGTCTGCATACAGAAGTGTGGTGGCCGTGCTGTTTACGCAGTCGACGAGGTGCACCCCTGCATTGGCCGATCATGTGGTCCCTTGGATCCACAGTTATGACATAGTTTCCTCTTTCGAATAACCTCTAGCCGTTCTTCTCTTGTTGCGACGTGCTTGCAGTCCGTTGGAGAATGATCCTGCTTAGAGCAGGGGTGTGTAGCAACAGAATCGTCCGGAGACCCGCGCTTGTGGTCGCGGCCGCGACGTCGCGACTGTAGTGGACGAGTCGTGCGCGTTCCTTTGAATTTCAAAAGGACGCTATACCGACTTCTCCCTTAGACATTTTGGTCAGTGCCATGCTACTTCGTTTTCTGTTCCATACTGTTTGTTTTTATGGTTATGTGCTGCGGTCCAAACAAAGCCATAGGTGGTCTTTACAGTATTGCCCACTATCCATTCAGGGAACGTCACTATAGGGAAACTCGCTATTGTATTATTCGAAATTCGCTATTATATCGCTGTGTGCCTCTACATCTACAGTATTGATATTATTTAGAATCATAATCAGAAGATTCATAATCATAATTCATTTCATAATTCAGATTCATTCAATTTCATCATTTCATAATTTAGATTCATAATCAGAATCAACAGAATCGTCCCATGGTCCACGGCCAAAAGGGTTAATGTGGACCGCAGCAAATCTGTCGCTCCAATCGAATAGTCTGTTGTTGCCGCGCCCATCCAAAAAGTGCCGCATTACGGCGCCGCGCAAGTAACCGCGCGCGACGGCGCCACTCCCGGACGATTCTGTTGCACGCTCCCCTTAGAGCAGTAGAAATAACCACGGTTTACCGCTCTCCTGAAATTGTTATTGGAACCTAGATCCCCTTTCGAACCCTTCGGAGACTGCACCGTTGGGCGATTTTCCTTCCTCTTGTTGGTTCGGCTACGAATCTTGAGTTCCATTGCAATGTAGCTTTTTGCAGCAGCTAATAAGGTGGTCGTGTCCCAGTTACTCTCTGGTGACTCTTGCTCCTTCTTCCGTAGCACCTGGCGTTGTATGTCTTCTGTGAACTTTCCAAGGAGTTGCCTCTGCAGGCTTCGACTACTCTGAGGACACCGGACCGAGGAAGCCAGCAGAGGATTCAGTCGAAGGATCGAAGCGAGGATCCCACACGGAGACTCCAAGGAAGAGTACGAGGACTGTCGCGCTGATCACCAAGAGGACGAGAGATCTTTAGAGGTGAGTCCAAACGTTGCATTGTCCGCTTGAAGTCACATCTCTGCATAACACGTCCGTACCGATTGCGCTGCTAACATGGCTACCGCACTAACAACGCGACAAGCTGTACTAACCCGAGCACTAAATCGGCTAACAGCGAATATTAGGAAGTGTGAAGGAGCTGAAAATATGGTCATAGAACCTCCATCAGAAGGTGAGAGCAGACGGGCGTACGTGGCAATCCAGAGACAGAAATTGGGGAGATCCAGGACCAGGAACTAACTATGCACACATTTCTCATATCCGATCAGCCTGTAGATAACGAATTTCAACTTACAATATGAGTCACACATAAAATATCGATACAAATGAAATAGAAGCAGCCACGGTTATCACCTGTATCACCTGTCGTCCCGTTGATCATCGAATTGCTCGAGCGGGCGCCAGCAACGTCTCCATTCGTCCCTGTCGCGTGCAAGAGTTGTCCAGTGGACCCTCCTCGCTCGAGGGACACGATGTCCTTCATTCCTTTCGTTCAGAGCTTTCGTGAAGTCTGACCATCAAGCCGGCGGTCGTCCAGGTGTTCGTTTGACGTCCC